ATAGTGTTGTATCCAAAAGCAAGGGGTGCTTAAGCACCCATACTAGACAATGTAGATTCGTCCGTGGTTATTGGGTTCTAAATTAATAATTTATACATATTCAATGAATTTTTAAGACAAATACATAGTTTGGACAAAAGTTAATGAATTCGGCCGAACCCGCAAGTCATATGCTAGCTCCGCCCCTGTTCCTATCATTCATACTGGATCCTCGCCTTCAACTGCTAGAGCCTTAACTCTTCAAAATGTACTTTGTGTACCTAATATGAAGAAAAATCTTAGTTTTTGTGTATAACTTGTGTTATGATAACAATATTTTTGTTGAATTCTCACCATTTAACTTTGTTATGAAGGATTTTCCTACGGGCAAGCCACTGGTGGTGGGGACGCCTAGAGATGGCACATATGAGGAAGTGCCAATTGAGAGATTGTTCTTCGAGAAACCCTATCATTATAGACCACAGATATGTATGTATTCAATGATTTTATTTGGATTTAATTTTTCATTTTATTTTTCATTTGTATTTTTACTTATACATTCATTTTTCTAATTTTTTTCGCACAAATATCCCACCTTGTATTTCTTTTTAATTTTTTTTAGTTTTATGACAATTTTATCTCTTCATCTCTTGATTAATTTACAAAGAAAATCATTTTGTGAACATGTTGATGTAAGACTGCTCTTATTAACTAGTTAATTCATAATTAAGACAAACTAATGATTCATGACTTGAAGAAAATTGCTGAATTTACAACTTCTTTTGGACTCTGAGAAATGGGTCGAGTTTCCTTCTTGGCCGGACAGAAAGCCGAATGGACCTACCAGTGGACTTATTTTGACTCAATTTTACCCTTACAGAAATGCATTTGTGAAAAATTAGGATTTTGTTTTATGATTGCGGTGAGTATTTAAGGCAAAGAAGCGATAATTTAAAAACAAAGGTAACACAAGTCATTCGTTAATATTCAGTTTAAATAGAATTCATAATATATTTAACTTATGTTCGATTTGAAGCTTAGAGTAAAACATTGATTAATCTATACTATATTAAAAGTGGGAAGCTCGTTAGTGTAAAGTTAAATTACCCCTCTTAGTAATTTAAATACCTATTTAATTCTTAAAAGGCAACCTAACGCATATGAATAGAAGCCGACGCTTGGTTAGAAGAAAACGACGCAAACACATACGAATAGAAGCCAACGTTTCATAACCTGTTTTGAAGAAAACCATGCCTTTTAAACTTGCTAATATGCTCCAGCAAAGAGTTGCTCTCGGGGCATTACACAACGATGGTGTTTTGTTAATCACATTTGGCTTTTGGAGTTAGAGGTTTGGTAGCACAGACGCGGTACTTCTCTTCTATGCGCTCTAACTGGCTATTTCGTGGTTCATTCTTTTCGTGGTAATTCTTTTCATTCTCTTCACCTCCTTTTCAAACAGATGCAATAGAAAATAAGGGGGGCAAAGATTTACCGAACATTTTAGAATGATAATCTAGAGAGTCAATTGGGAAGAGAACAACGCTTAGAAAAAGAAATAAAATACCAAGACACAATATAATAATGAATCTTGAATTGCATGCAGAATTTTATGTCTTTATTGTACTAAGAATGAGTCTATAATCCTTTCTAAATACTTTACTTTAATTTTCGCTTGTGGTTTAACTGGTCTGTATTAAGTTAAACATATATAATCCACTAACAACTATATTATCTACGCTGTTTGTGCTTGTTAAAAATTGCTAGAAGTTTGATAATCACCCTCTTTAGGTGTCCTTATTCAGAGGTTATTTGATGCCAAATTTGTTATAAACATTTTTTTAAGATCATAGAACTAAAACCTTAGTGAATTCGATGAATGTTTTATGGTTCCATAATGTCTTGATAATCTTATTTCTTGAAAAGAATAATGTCTAATTTGACTTTTGATGATCCAACATTTGATAATTTTTAGTTTGTGCCACTAATTCTGGAGAGTGAAGCTTGATGTGTTTTCTAAAAAGATGTATTTTTTTATTTTAAAGTTTCTTTGAAATCCAAGATTGTTTTTATTAGGGTACTCTTAATTTAGATTTCTAAGAAATCAATGAGATTTATGAGTAGGATACTAACATGGACATATGATAGAGATATATAAATTAGAAAATGAATTTTATGCTGGTTTCATATATCACCAGCAACTTCAGTAATGAGTTGTGCAATATAAGAATAAAGTCATTTTATAATGAAAAACATCATTATGGAATATCTTCTCTGTTTTGGCCAAGTTCTTGCTGTTCAATTTGATTGAACTATTTGCATTTCTATTTATGGTTTTTTTTCCGTTTTCCAATTTAAAGAATTGTTTTGGTTATTGTATGTAGGATCACTCCTTTTCTGATACGTAATATCAAACTGCTAAAAATTTAATATCAAAGAAAATTACTGTTTATTCTATAATAAGACTATTTAGAACTAAAGCTATTGGCTGTATTATTTCATTTTACTATTGTGCTTTATTCTCATAGAATCAACTAAAATTTACTTTCATGATTTGAGTTTTATTACAACTGCACCATTCCCTTTACTCCAGTTATTTTGCTTTTTCCCCCCTTCTCTTGCACTGTAATTTGAGTAATATCTTTAAAGAAAAAACACCAAATCATCAGGCCTGATGCCGTGGTGCGTATTAAATTTATTAAAATCAACATTGAGAAAATCACAAAGCAAGGAAAAACAAATGTTAACGTTAACTATTTATCTGGATTAGTGGATGATGAATTAAGACTTTCGGCCAATATGTGCTTTTCAAATGAAGAGAGTGGCCTAAAGTGGAGTTCAAATTAATATGTAAATTTTAGCCTCTAACGTTGATATAATGGACTCTTTGATCATAAATGTAAGGTATTTATTTGGCTTTTAGACAATCATATGCGAGCTCACAAGTAACTGCATTGGTATTAAATAAAAGATTGGAGTGTTTTGTGTGTATGTAATATTAATTGCTTGGTACTTCTAATAAAAGATTGGAATGTCTTCTGTGTATGTAACATGTGCTTGGTACTTCTAATATAAGATATGGTTCTTGACTCATATTGGATATCAAGTGGGAGTATATGTTTATCCTATATAAAAATTCAACTTTTTCCCCTAAAAATAAAGAATATCCTTAAAATTCGTCCGAAAATAATTTCATGTATGTCTATGATGATAAATAAAGCACATGATCAAATATATGATCAACTTTGACTTGTGCTTTTAAGGGAGATATCAATATTGATAATAAGAGCCTTGGTCTAAACAGAGTGTTGGAATATGTGCATTTGATTATTGAAATTATAATATTAAAGTGCATTATTTATTGTCATGTTATGGTTATAAATTACGAAGAAAAGTGGTCATTATTCCATGGTATAACTCATATAACTGCCAATACCACGAACTACTACTAATTATCTTAAATTTTGTAATCATCCAACCCATCTTCTATAATTTTATTAATTCACTATCTTCTTATTTATTATATTCATTGTGTTTGGGTATGTGAAAGTTTTGTAGTGTGCATGAAAAAATTAAGTTGGTATAGTAAAAAAGTGAATTGAGAGAATATCAAAATCTAAGTTTTCAATTTATTCACTACAAAAGAAAATATTATTTTGCTGAAGGAAGGTGTTCATCTTGGTGAACTTTGGACTCAATATTTTGTTCAGAATTTATTTGAGTAATACGATGGGTCACATATTGTATCCTAGAGAGGACAAGTCAAAAGTGTTAAAAAAGCACGGGCTAGCCAGTTTTCTGACTGAAAATTAAAAAAATAGCCAGCATTTGCAAGATTATTGAAAAATAACCATTATTTTGCTGAAATATGAAAAGTTCCAGCATAATATGTTGGATTATAGAGCTCATGCGTATAAACTTCTAGCATATATGTTGGAACTCCAACACACAAAAAATTCCTGCATAATATGCTAGATTTGAAGTTCCTGTGTATAAACTTTCAACATATTAGTTGGAACTCCAGCACATTATGAAATTCCAGCACATTGCTGTCAAAAGTGTTACAGCTGGACCACTGAAGATTCTACCGCAATGGACTTGAATCTCCTTTTACGAAAGAGCAAAATATCTGCGCCTCAACTTGAAGAATATTCATTATTTTTGTTTATCTTATTTTTCCACTGTAATTTTTTGTATTTTCACCAACAAAGCAACCGAAATAATTGAAAGGAAGATACACTAGAAATTTCGTGTATACGAAAATGTTAGGTGAAACACGTTTTATTACATGTTTGTAACTCATAAAGTTAAAACAAGTCAAGAAACTCACATATATCTAATTAAACACTGATTCTTCATATTCAAGGTGTATCCCATCATTTTGATTTCGACAAATAAGTCAACATATAACGATCTATTTATCATTCATATAAATTTTTATCGTATTATTTGATGTATAAAATTATTTACTCAAATTTTATTTGAATAATATTTCTATTATTTTATAAAGTCTCGTACTTCTTGATTTGGCATACACGTGCAACGCACGTGGCGAGAAACTAGTTACTATAAAAGCAAGAATAGAGGTAATGGTCATTTTGGTGATCTCATCGAAAAAGTAGTGGATGATTTGTTTTAATCGTGATAAAAACAAGTAAACTTTTCATTAAAATGTTTTTTCTTTAGAAATTCATGTATTTTTTCTTCCCTCTTTCAAAGTTTTAATTGGGTCAAGTGCACACTAACATAGTATGAGGTCTTTTGATGAAACTAAATCAATTTCTGAGTCGAAAGGCCTATGGTCTAAAGTATGTATTTCTTACCTCTTTAGTATGTATTTTCAAAAACAAATGTACAAAAGAAAAAGAAAATGCAGATTGTCACGACCCCTTCCACACCGTGATCGGCGTGTAAGGACTAGGCCAAGCAAGCCCTCGCCTCCCTTATTTATAAGGCTGGCCATAATTCCTGCATCAGCTTTTGAACCCAATACCATCATAAACAAAAATATGGAGCACATATGAAAATGGAGGTAAACTACCGATCAATATCAATAAGTATCATGTCAAGAAGGACCCACTTGAAAACGTCTACCAAATACCATTCTAATACTAATATTAGGAAACTTAAGACTACATGAAGTGCAACTCTAGAACAAGTATCTCTACAAATAAAGCAAAGTAATCATTCAGCCGTCTTCCGTCCCCATAATCTTTTCTTTCCTAACTTCTTCTTCTACCGTAAGAGAAATGACTTCAGTTCAGATTGTTACGTTGTACACCTACAAACAAGAATGAGTCATTTGTCAATCGTGGATAAAAGCTCACAATTGCATGGAGAAGTACATTTCAGTGGATAGTAGCACATTAGAATTTCAGAAAATCCTCAATGCATCTAATTGATAAGGGAGAGGACTTTACCATGCATCATCTGTACAAATCGTTCAAACTCCATGAAATTGTGTTTTTCCAGTAGAGTTGGGCTCAGCTTGAGGTAGGTAAATGCAGATAAGTAGTATCTACCAAATGGATCATTCATTGGCTTGGCATTTTCTAAGATCTTGTTGTAACCTTCTCTACGGTAACATGGACGTGCATTCTCACCCGCAACTGGTATGTTGGCTTCCCATGCAGCATTTAGCACCTGCAATTTTGGGAAATCCCTTAAACAAAGACCCAGTATATCCAGTGATTTAGAGACAAATGGATATTACACCAGAGACAAATGGATATTACACTGCATGATCAATTATCTCTTTGATGTAGATGTACATCAAGTTTATGAACTATTTGTGATTAATTTGTCTGACAAAAACAACCCCCCACCCCACCTCCCTCCCTCCCCCAAAAAAAGGGGAAAACATCACTTGCTGAAAAATAGAAACAATATCGACAAAATAGCATTTACATGTGCAAGGAAGAAAAATGTAATCTCCTACAGGCCAAAATCATTAAGCTTTGCATATTTCATTTACATGAGACAATAATACATATTTGCAACCTCGAGCCTTTAGACAAACAAATGTTGTTGCGGAAGCCAAATGTATAGAGTGTGAATAAGTCACAACTACTATACCAAAAATTA